ACAGTCCGCGCGGAGGAAATCAGATCGGGGCCCTCGTGCATCTCCTCAAGCCGCTAATGTTGATGCCGAACCTGATTCTAGTCCGATTCCTGGCCTCACAGCAAGTCAATTCGCGCAGCTTAAGTCCTTTCTCAGTTCGGACGTAAAGATGCATGGCCAAGTGCCGTCGGATCTTGTATCCAACATGGCGGGTACGTATTTTACTTCTTCTGCTTCGTGGGTTATAGATTCTGGTTGCAACGAGCACATAGTCACTGATAAATCTTTGTTGATAAATGAGTTGGAGTCACCTCCAACATTACAGGTTCGGATACCTAATGGAACAGGAGTTCCTGTTCAGGGTATTGGTTCGGTGGAATTGCCTAATGGATTATTACTACGCAGAGTGTTATATGTGCCGGATTTTCAGTGCAACCTGCTTTCCGTTAGTAGGTTGACGGCCGATCTGCCGGTAGCCTTAATCTTTCTTGGTGACTTCTGTATTGTTCAGGACTTACCATCCAGGAAGCTGATTGGGATGGGTAAGCATGTAGATGAGCTGTATTATCTTCGACTATTTGAAGAGCGACATCCGGTGGCACATGCAGCTCGTCAAGCAGTGGATAAAACAGCTCTCTGGCATGCACGGTTGGGACATCCTGCCGTGGCGAAGATGGGACATTTGCAGAAGTTTATTACCGCTCCTCTCTTGCAGCAGCATTTTCCTTGTCATTCATGTATTCGAGCAAAGCAAGCTCGTGATCCTTTTCGGTCTAGCTCAATCACGACGCAGTCTTGTTTTGAACTCCTACATTTGGATATTTGGGGTGGTTATCGGACCCCTTCTCTTTCGGGCGCACATTATTTTTTGACAATTGTTGATGATTATAGTCGAGCAGTTTGGGTTTATTTGTTGAGATATAAATCCGATGTTGGACGCCACTTATTGGCTTTCTTTCACATGGTGCGCACCCAATTTGGTAAGGAGGTTCGTCGCCTCCAGGCGGACAATGGTCCGGAGTTTGATACTGCCATTTTACGTACTTACTATGAGGAATCAGGGATTGTTTTGCAGACTTCTTGCACCGACACACCGCAACAAAATGGTGTTGTCGAGCGAAAGAACAGACATCTCCTGGAGACTGCTCGAGCATTGCGTTTCCACACAAATTTACCTCTTGAGTTCTGGGGTGAGTGTGTCCTTACCGCAGCATACTTGATCAATCGCATGCCTTTAGTGACGATTGGTAATCGTACGCCTTATCACATCATGTTTGATAAGGATCCTAGTTATCAGCATCTACGAAGTTTCGGCTGTCTGGTATATGCTCGTGATAATCGACGGGGCTTGGACAAATTTGCAGATCGTGGTCGTGCAGGCATATTTATCGGGTATCCTAGCACCCAGAGAGGTTATCGTGTGTATGATTTGGAGGATAAGAGGACTTACACGTCACGTGATGTCCACTTTCTTGAGGACATATATCCTTACCGTCTTTCTCAGGAGCCTTCCGCCTCTTCCTTTCATGATCGCCCATCACCATCCGCACCTTCACTTGAGCCGGTTTGGGACGATGATGTTGGCGACTCACCCATTCCAGCTTTACTCGAGACTGTGCAGGGTTCCACTGTTTCACCAGCTGGCCCCGCCTCGACGGAAGAGGTGTCTCCCAGCACCTTGGCTTCAATTTCCCCTTTGGCCGAGTCAACTGCCTCGCCAGGTGAGACATCCTCACCTTCATCTACTGTTCCATCGTCCTCGTCGCCTGCTCCACCCGACACTGCTACTGTTCCCACCGAGAATCCACCGGTTCTTCGCCGTGGTGATCGAGTGAGACAGCTCTCCACTCGACTTCGCGGTTATGATGTGGATCTCCCAGGTTCGGCACACAAGGCTACAGTGGAGTATCCGATAGAGGACTACCTGACATATTGACGTTTGTCACAAGCACATCATGCTTTTGTAGCTGCGGTTAGCCGGGTTGATGAACCTCGCTTTTACTATCAAGCCGTTCGCTACAAGCATTGGCGCGATGCCATGCTCATCGAGTACCGTGCTCTGGAGGCCAATGGTACTTGGGAGTTGTGTGATTTACCTCCTGGGAAGCGTGCTATTGCTTCCAAATGGGTCTTTAAGGTGAAATTCAATGCTGATGGCACTATGGAACGCTACAAGGCTCGTCTTGTCGCAAAGGGTTTTACGCAGATAGAAGGCATTGACTTTCACGATACTTTTGCCCCCGTTGCAAAGTTAGTCACTGTTCGCTGCTTACTCACCGTTGCAGCTAGCCGGGGATGGATTCTTCATCAACTGGACGTGAACAATGCTTTTCTGCATGGGGAGATTGCTCAAGGTTTTTCTCGGCCCGGCGAGACTCGTGTATGTCGATTGAAGAAATCTATATATGGGTTGCGTCAAGCATCACGCAACTGGTATCAGAAGTTCACACAAGCTCTTGGGGAACTTAACTTTACACAGAGCCGTGCTGATCATGCCTTGTTTACTTATCGTCGGGGTGCTACTTTTGTTGTGGCTCTCATATACGTCGACGATGTTATCCTTACGGGAAATGACATGCAGTTCATTCAGCATGTAAAGGACTTTCTCCATGATCGTTTCACTATCAAAGATCTTGGACCTCTCAAATACTTTCTTGGCATTGAAGTTGCTCGATCACCTCGAGGCTTGGTTCTCAATCAAAGAAAGTATGTCCTGGATATTCTTGCTGAATCGGGTCTTGCGGCTACACGACCCAGTCCCACGCCTATAGAACAAAATCATCGCCTGGGTCACGACGAGTCACCCCCTGCCGCCGATGCTGCTTCTTTTCGCAGGCTGGTTGGGCGATTGCTGTATCTTACTGTTACTCGACCGGATATCACCTATGCGGTCAACTTACTTAGCCAGGCGGTTCATTCGCCCACTCAGGCTCATCTTGCCACAGCTACACGTATTCTTCGGTACCTCAAAACGTGTCCTGGTCGTGGTCTTTTTCTCTCGGCATCTCCGGACCTCTCTTTGACGGCTTATTGTGATGCCGATTGGGCTGGTTGTCCCCTTACACGACGCTCTACAACAGGTTACTTCATCAAACTGGGTGCTTCTCCCATTTCTTGGCGCACCAAGAAACAATCTGTGGTTGCGCGTTCTTCTGCTGAAGCTGAATACCGTGCCATGGCTAGCATGGTGAGTGAAGTTCTCTGGCTTCGTTGGCTTCTTCGTGACTTGGGTGTTCACATTTCGGAGCCAACTCCTCTATACTGTGACAATCAGGCAGCACTCCATATTGCTGCTAATCCAGTTTTCCATGAGCGCACTAAGCATGTGGAGATGGATTGTTATTTTGTTCGTGAGCGTGTGCAGCCAGGGGATGTTCTACCTATCAAGATTGCTACACAGGAGCAGCCGGCGGACTTATTCACCAAGGGTCTCAGCGTTGATCAGTTTTCTCATCTTCTGGTCAAGCTCGGTCTGCTTGATATTCATTCCTTCGCTTGAGGGGGAGTGTTGTGATCCCTATACTTAATGACACATGTTTTTTATTAAGTTTGGGATCCTATTGTAATTAGCCAACCCGTGTTAGTGTTGATAGGGTTTGGCTGGAGTCTTGTATAAAAGGAGAGCAAGGCTCACGTCTGCCTCTCCAAGAGAGAAGAAAACCTAATCATAAATAAAATATCAGCCGAGAACTCACGTTCTCCGTGGACTAGTCTCGTTCATTCATGAACGGGGAAACCACGTAAATCTTGTCTCGTGCGTTTTATTTCTCGATCGATCTCGTAGAATTTTACATAACGTTTCCTCCTCATCAATGAAAAAGCTTTGGGAGTTTGAAAGTGTTGCATCTTTAAACGACACATGAAAATGCCCCAGCCAAAAGGTTGGGGACTTCAGAGAGTCCTTTGGTAGTATCTTCATTCTATAGGTAGCAATTTTCAATCCAATTCACTAACCCATTAAAAATATCAACATAATCCAATCCATTTAAATCCAATACATTTGATCCAAATTCAATTGGATTGGTGAATTCATGGATTGATCCATGGATCCAAATGGCAAATTACGATTTGGTACCTATACTTTTTATATTTTACATTTTGGTACCCAAAATTTAATTTTTAATACGAAAAATATCATTGGAAAATTACGTTTTGATACCTAAAATTTTTTATTATGACATTTTAGTACCTAAATTTTTTACATTTTACATATTGGTCCTTGGTTGAGGATGTCATTTGGATTAATGGATAATCTACCAATCCACTTGATCCAATCCATGAATCAACCAATCCATTGGATCCAATTCATTTGATCCATGGATCAATCCATTTGCTACCTCTATTCTATTTTATAATATGATAATGATAATAGTAATAATTGTGAAAAGCGAGATTAGTTCAACAATGTGTTGAGAGAGAGAGAATAAAGATGATAACAACTCATATTCCCCTTTTGTATTTGTATCCACTATCCTGCATGCATTGAGTGTATTTCAGGGAAAATTATGTAAGTAAAACTGAGCTCTAAAGAAGTTGCTTTTTCATCTTCCCCTATTTCTTCCCCATAACTTAACTTGGGCTGCCCTGCCCGTGAGAGAGAGATCTTCCTCAAGTTTACTAACTCGCTCTTGAAGACTCTTCTTCTCCTTGCTAGACTTCATCAAGGATCCTATAGCCTCCTTGTATTTGTTCTCAAGCTCCTCACACCGGTCAAGAAGTTGACGATACTCTGGATCCGTCATTGCATATTCCTTCCTCGTAGATTCAAGTGCAGCTTCCGTGAGTAGCTTCTCCTCCATGCTCTTTCGAATCATAGTTTCCAGCTTTGAAATCTTCTTGCAAGCTGAATCTTCTAGTTTGCTAAATTTGCTTGAATGAGACTTTGAGGAGGCTTCGGCATGTGCACGACCCTGGGCTATTTCATCATTCAACACACCCTCTAATTTTTCAACTTGCTCAGATAAATGAAGCTTTTCTTTGTCAATATCAGCCTTCAATTGGTGAAATAGCTCAGATAACCTAAGCTCCTCTTTACTGAGGAGGGACAGATCCATAGTCACACGGTTGAGATTGCTCTCAATATGTTCCTTCTCAGTAGAAACTTCATTGATTTGCTCCTTGAGAACCTCAACTACTAGTTCATGTGCGAGGATTTCAATTTCACTCATTTTATCACCGACACAAGTGATCGTATCCTGATTCTGAATCCGCCGTGGGTGGTAATAAAATAAAAGCAATAACACATAAGAGATGAGATCATAGACCAAAGGAACAGTTGCAATTCAACAGCTAATTATAGCAAGCAACAAAGAATCTAGCCAGCCAAAAGCGAGGGAAAGTTAGTAATGGGCAACAAACCGGTCGTGGTGGCTGCTGGAGAAGACGGTAAACGAGGCGCGGCTGCCGGAGAAGACCGTAAAGTAAACGAGGCGTCACTGCCGGAGAAGACGGTGGGATGCGGCGCGTCTACGGGAGAAGAATCGGTTCAATTAGGTTTTTGGGAGATCTTTGATGGATTGGAGGCCGACTTAGTATATAATTAATTGCATGGTTGGTCACTGAGATTACAAAAAAACGTTCATGTTTGGTCACTAAAAATATTTAAATCTAGTCTTGGTCACTCAAATTAGTTAAATTATTCAAGTTTGGTCACTCTCAATCTATTTCCGTTAACTCCAGCTTACGTGACAGTCAACTTTCATAGTTGACCGTTAAATACGTGATATGGCAATTAAAAAATTATTAAAAATAAACAAATAAACTTTTATATTTTCCACCTCATTATTACCTTCATTAAAAAATAAAAATCCTAAAAACAACCGAAACCAAACCAAAAACAACCGACAAGCTGCCGGCGGCCATGTAATCGAAGACGAGAAGCTTCTCGTCTTTAGAGAAGTAGAAGGCTCTGAACGGAACCACATTGTCGTCTTTAGACGTTTTTGTCGGAAGCAAGGCGTCTCCGGCGCGGTCGCGGACCATGAGTTCCCCTTGCGATCCCAGAACCCCGCAGCCTTCCACCCGAAAAACGACACTCTGGGTCGAATCCTCCGTCACCACGAACCCGCCGCCGGTGACGGTTTGGGGCCGTTTTCTGACCGTCAGCACCACCTACGACAGGGAGCAGTACAGCTTCTTATGATCGCCACCGGCGCCTTCAATTTCGGACTGGCCATGGACTTGTTTATGTGAAATATATGGAAGTAATTATATGTCACGCGCGCAGATTTTAGCTTGGAGATTGGAATTGGAACTGTTGTATTTAGACGTTTTTGTCGATGCTATCGGATCTGATCAAAGCGAACGAGATCTCAAAATCGATCGATCGCAACCCGTTCAGGAAGATTCTGGAAGCCAATTACCGGCCTCAGCTGGTGATGGCGGTCGCGATCCCGTTCTTCCAGCAGGTCACCGGAATCAATGTCATCGCCTTCTACGCTCCCCTGCTCTTCCGAACAATCGGAATGGGAGAGAGCGCTTCTCTGATGTCGGCCATCCTCACCGGCGCCGTCGGGATTGGGACGGCGTTCCTGTCGATGGTGATCATCGATAGAGTCGGGAGGAGGCATCTATTCTTGTTTGGGGGGGTGCTGATGTTCGTCTCGCAGGTGCTTGTGGGAGCAATTATAGCGGCGGAGCTGGGGGACCACGGCGGGATCGGGAAGGGGTACGCGGTAGCTGGGAGCAATTATAGGTTTTTTATTTTTTTATTTTTTAATGAAGGTAATAATGAGGTGGAAAATATAAAAGTTTATTTTTTATTTTTAATAATTTTTTAATTGCCACGACACGTATTTAATGGTCAACTATGAAAGTTGACTGCCACGTAAACTGGAGTTAACGGAAATAGATGGAGAGTGACCAAACTTGAATCATTTAACTAATTTAAGTGACCAAGACTGAATTTAAATATTTTCAGTGACCAAACATGAACGTTTTTTGTAATCTCAGTGACCAACCATGCAATTAACCCTATCACTAAGAGGTGAATTGCAGAAAATGTCACTTGTTTTTGTGAGGCACTAACAAATCGTTAACTTTTTGTTCAATGTTAACAAATTGATCCCCTATGTTTTCCCTAACTAACAAATCAATCTTTTCGTCAATTTTAGTCAACTTTGTGTCCAAAATCAAAATTGCCACATCATATATACCGTCATATCAACAAATCTTATATTAAATCGTTGTCCTTTTCCACTTCAGCCCTATGTCTAATTCTGTCGCCGGCACTAATGACGCCAAGATCTCAAAGAGCTAATTGAGTTTAAAAATAATAATATCTTTTTATTTTTTTCACTCTACCTATCTCAATTTGTGAATGATACTTTGGTAACACTTTAATTAATTGTTGCTTTCTTTTTTAATCTAGTTTATGATACTTTACAATCTCGATGGAAAGTCAAGTGAGAGTAACAATGATGGTCCAAGCCAAAGCTTTCATATTGATCATAGCCCCACAATTGACGTTGAAAGTGTTGATTACGATTCCAATAGTCAATCCTAACGAGGAGAATGAAAATCTTCATGTTGACGATCATAATAGACATTTTGCCCGTATTTTAAAAATCTAGGCACAATACTATTAGACTTTGGAAGATAAATATATCTATGAGTTCATCACATATAACCCGAATAATTCCTTTCAATACTCAAACATTCTTAGATTATCAAAAAGTTCCACAATTATTAATATATAATGCTAAAGTACGGGTTAATTGCATGGTTGGTTACTGACATTACAAAAAGCGTTTAAGTTTAGTCACTCGAAATATTTAAATCTATTAGTGGTACTTCAGTTTACTAAAACCGTTGACGTTTGGTAACTCTCTGTCCAACTCCGTTAACTTTTGCTTGCATTGCGGTCAACTCTAAAAGTTGACCGTTAAATGTGTGACGTGACAATTTAAAAATAATATTATTTAAAATTGACATCTCATTTCCACCTCCTTGTCACTTTTATTCAGAATAGATAAATAGAAATTCTAATTTCTTCTAATTCCCAATACCAATATCAGAAAGATGCAGCGACTTCACTAAGCACCCGGAATCCGATCCCAAATCCTACATGGAAACCACATTTGATGAGTACCTGATAGTGCCCTCCGGAAGCTCCATCTCCATGGCTTCAAGCAACAGCTTCCTCTGCACACATCGAGCTTCATTCTTGTTACCAGAGAAAGGCACCTCTGCGCTGGGGGATGAGTTACCGTCACTTCCCCTAAGAGGGATGTGAGATTCACATCCAAGGGAAATTTGGGTATGAAAAAAAACTAAATTTATTATTTATTTATTTTTGTATTTACAGATTGGGAATTAAAAACTCAGACTAAATACTTTTTTAATTTAAATCCTACAATTAATACGCTTATATATATCTCTCTCTCTCTCTCTTTCTTTTCCAGCAACCTCTTCACTCTGACCGCCAAACTTTCTCCGGCCGACAACTTTTTTCCGGTGAAATCCTCCAATCAGACTCGCTCCGGCCATCTGCAAAAAAAACCACTCCGTCAGTGCGCTAATGGTACTGATTTTCATCTAGTGGTACGCTACCAGTAGTAGTGGTACGTACTAGTGGTAGTGGTACGCTACAAGTACCACTGGTACCGCTACCACTGAGTACTGGTACGCTACCACTACTCATTGGTACCGCTACCACTACCACTAGTAGCGTACCACTAGACAGAAATCAGTACCACTAGAGAATAACATTAAAAAAAAAACAAGAACTGGAATCTGAAAAATCCCAGATCTGGAAAAAAAATTAATGAATGAGGAAAGGAGAAGGAAGGGGAGAGGTGGTAACCTCACGGTGGCGACAGAGGAGGACGGTGGGAGAGAGATGGCGGTGACATGAGTTGGAGGGACGGCGGGAGGGCTGCGACGGGGAGAGCGTTATGGCGCGGCAGTGGCGGGAGGCGGAGGACGCGACGGCTGCGGCGGGAGGGAGACGGACAGACGGTGGCAGCGGGAGGGAGAGATGGCGGTGGTGGCGACGGGAAGGAGAGACGACGACGGTGGCGACGGGAGGGGATGGCGGCGGTGACGGGAGGGAGAGACAGAGAGCAGTTAGGGTTCTCAGGAGAGGGAAGAGAGAGGGGAGAGATGAAGAGTTTTTTTTTTTTAGGAAATCAGGTTATATAAAAAATGAGAAAGGATCACGTATAGTAAGTTTTTATCTTCCAAAAATACCCTTCATTTAATCTAAACCGTTAATTTGAAAAATCAAAAGAGAGAGTGGATCTAATGGTTGCAAAGGAGGAAGCGAAAATCACAACCCCTACAGGGGTTGTGACGCTATCTAAGCCCCTACGCTGGTCTGTTCTGTAATCTTGGAAGCAAGCACCACTCTAGCATTTCATCAAATACCATCCATGTATCAGTTCAAAAGAAAAAGCCAGAAAAGCTTCTGCATTAACCCAATATTCAGGGATTTTTCCAATAATAACACCTTTTATAAAAATTACAAAAATAGCACCCAACCGAAAAAATTAACACTGATAGCACCCTTTTTTTATGGACCGCACCTCTAGGGTGCGTTTTGCGCCACGTCAGAATGGGAACCGCACCTCCAAGGTGCGGTCTGTGTTTGGTGGGCAGCGGCCTTGCAGACCGCAGGATTGTGTGGCGATCTAGTAGATGGCGGAGGTAAGTTTTATTTTTATTTTTTAATAGTTGTAAAATGAGGTGGAAATTGTAAATATTTAAATTTTATTTTTTTTTTTTTTTTAATGGCCACGTCACTCATTTAACGGTCAACTATAATAGTTGACTGCCACATCAGCAAAAACTAACGGAGACTAACGAAGAGTGACCAAACTTGAACTATTAAACTAATCTTAGTGACCATGAATGGAATTAAATATTTGCAGTGACCAAACATGAACGGTTTTAGTAAACCCAGTGACCATCCTTGCAATTAGAGGTGGCAATTGGATCGGATTCGTGGATTCATGGATTGGATTGGTGGATCCATGGATCAAATGGATTGGATCCAATGGATTGGTGGATTCATGGATTGGATCAAATGGATTGGTGGATTGATCCATGAATCCAAATGACATCCAAGGGTTGGACCAAAATGTAAATTTTGAAAAGTTTTGGTACTAAAATGTCATAATGAAAAATTTTAGGTACCAAAATGTAATTTTCCAATGATATTTTTCGTATAAAAATATAAATTTTAGGTACCAAAATGTAAAATGTAAAAAATATAGGTGCCAAATCGTAATTTGCCATTTGGATCCATGGATTGATCCATGAATCCACCAATCCAATTGGATTTGGATCAAATAGATTGGATTTAAATGGATTGGATTAGGTGGATAATTTGATGGATGGATTGGATTGGATTCATGGATTTGGATCTTAATTGCCACCTCTACTTGCAATTAACCCAGAGTTTTCCATTCCTTAGTTATAAATATGTACTTGGGGTTACGTTATGGTCAAGCAAGAACAATTATTCAGAATAGTATCTCAAACCCTAATCTCTCTCAATTTCGTCACGTATCCCTAGGATGTCGCCATTCTTCTCCTCGATCCCCAATTTCCTCTTCTAAATCCCTAATTCTCAATTCTGTTCTTCCCCAATTCTATATAAATCCCTAAACTCCTATCAATTCCCAATCTCACCAACCAAATCGATAGATCCTTTGAATTAGGTTTCTATCACCTAATAACTAGGATCCAAAACAAAAGAAGACTTGCTAATAAAGTACAGAACAAATGAAAGTAAAACTTGAGTGAAACGTTCCTTCAGACTCATTGAGTAATAATATGATGTCGTTGGCGTCACCTAAACAACGTCTACAACTGAACGTTCCCTCTTTCCAACTGTAAAGCAGAACTAACTAAGAGCAATGACAGTTGAGGTTTGGTACCCCCATGCAGTACTCGATTTTGTTCAAGACCAAATGGTTCAAGATCTCTGTGAAAACAATAAAGAAACATTCGTCAAAAAAAATATTATATTGTATGAAAGACGAGGGAAAACTGTTACATCGTTAATAGAACGAGCAAAATATAAAACAAATCATAAAATAGTGGGAAGTAAGGTCTGTACTGGCATCAACCAAGGCAGCTGAGTTGTCTGAGCTTATAACAATAACATACTCCTTCCCCTGTAAACAGGTTGAAAGGCAGTAATTAAACAAGCAAACCTCTAACAAGCCTTCTGGAAAGTAATGTCAATGAAAAAAGACAACAGAAACAACTGTGCACCTTCATTAGTAAGACATCCAGTTCATCACGATTAATCAGAGAGCATAATGCTGCCTGCATGATCAGAAGAGAAGGGCACCTTCGGGTAGAACACATGAAAAACGATGTTCAATTTTTTTCGTCATAATCAGGTAACAATACTTTTGGGAAACACAAGCAAGGCCCTTTTACAGGCCCCAGAATAAGGAAAAGAAGGACAAACAGCGATAATGGGGCAGAGAAGGAAGATACTCGACAACTGGCCTCTTAAATTAGAAATGACAGAGGAGTGGTTTGCCATAGGAGTTTCACAAGTTCATAGTTGATGAAAATATATCAACCATTAACAGGGTCAGAAAATACTAATTTGTATCTCCTGATATGATTACGTTGAATCAACTACCTTCAAACGATTACTTAAGGTCACAAACTATTCATAATCATAAAGATAGAATAAAGGATCAGAAATCGTACGGTTTATTCTCGTTCTCATGGTGATTCCCCAGACTGCTGACCCTAGAGACATCAAATCGTGCCATTCTGAGTCAATAAAGTGGCTACAATAGATATGACTCTGTTCACACCTGAAAACAGTATACAGAACAAGTAACCTGTTGAACTGGAAGACTATCTATGTTTGACCTGGAAATTTTCTCCACAAAATACAATAAAAGGACAACAATTAGATTTATCTATTTTACGAATATGAACTCAAGAAGGATACGTAATGGCTGCTTACCTTAGAGGTATCATCATGAGTGGCACCAGTGTTTATAAGCACCAGTGGGACATCAGACCCATACTTGTTATTGAGAGCCTGGAGATGTAGCAGAATAAGTGAAACTCAGTCTAGTATACTGATGTGATAAATGAAAGACTACATACTAGGAAAACCAATGTGATTACCTGAATTTGATTCACAACTAAGTCAAGAGAAGTCAAACCGTCGCATACTTCAACTAGGGACCTACACATAGAAGCACATGGGCGGGATGCCAGGGAAAATTTATTACACAAACCTCGTTAGAGCTATTGTACTACTTATTAAAAGGAAGGTTTTTGGGACAGAATTGGTTGGAGTATAAATAAAGACAAGTAGTAGGAGCAATTATAACATAAAGGCTGCTAATGAGACATACGACATGGGAACTGGGAAGTCCCGCAACTCCACATTGTTGAGCACACACTTAATAACCAATCATAATAGGTTCAGAAGAGATCAATGGTACCCTCTATAATGTGCATGGATGACATACAATTTGTGCTCTGGCACTAGTGGGTATGTCGGGATAGTTTATATGTTGGTGGCTATAGGATGTCATCCATCGCACCTGACATTCTCTGGGTTGGTTGTGGAGGCAATAATGAACATCAATAGGTACTAAGTTTGAGATCACTCTCAACATTCTTACACCTTTGTAAATAACAATCAGCTATGTAATAAATGTTCGCATGGAGCTTAATAAGCCTTCTACAACGCAATAATTAAAATGCCAAAAGGCAGGATTTAGCTTTAGGGTAGGAAGCATTTGCTTAGTAATAAACCATTTGATAGGGTAAATGAGGTTTTGAAAGCTTTCAAATACTTACAGTTACCTTAATGGTTTTGGGCAAATGTGTGGAAGTAAAAAAAAAAACCAAAATGGCAGAGTATGAAAAAAGCCAGTGCTATCAGTTATACATATTATCAGTGCACGACTGGATAATGCTTACTTAGGGCCGTTAAATCCTACAGCCGTTCCAAAGTACCATTGAGCTTCACCACCACAAGCTTATCCAAGATCTGCCTAGCTCCCACAGAATCTGCATTTGGACAAAGCTACTTCTGTTTCAGTCATGATAAGTTGCCAGTTCATAGCTGTGCAATGTGTAAATGAAACAAACCACAGAAAAAATCAGAGGAACCACCTTCAAAAATAGGTGCTAATCTCTCATAATGAAGAACAAGGACTTCATCAGTTAAAAATCTTATTCTGTTCATACTGACACACCGGTGGACTTCCTTCCTACAATGCAGAATTTTGATTAAAACCTCAACCAACCAACCAAACTACGCAACTGACTTGTCAATAAAATAAACCATTAAGCCTCTTTTAACAAAGCAGAAACAAAAGAATTAAGTCAATCATTGCCATCTATTCCATAGGCTAAATGCTCTCTGGCAACGGCAACAATAGCATAGACTAAATTCATCCCAAAGCCTCCTTCTCTGACATCTTATACTTTACTTGCTTCACGTACCGCGGCACAAATAATCCATTCTAGAGACTTCTAAGTTCACAGAAACAGGTAGCATCAAAAGAAGTGGCAGCACCACGATATAGGCTGATCCCAACTTCTTTCACACTCTCAAGAACTAGGCACCAATACTTATGCTCCCAAAGCAATACTCATGATAGATACTTACTATATCAGAGTATATTACCCAAGTTCATTTGTTGAAGTTGCTGGCTCATCTTCAACTGTATCTCCCTTGGCTTCTCTCATCTTCTTACACTCAAGCTAAGAAAGTCTTGGTAATGATGTTACAGAACAAGTACACGAATTCCATTGAATCATTAGCAGGCAAAGGATAAGCAGTCTTCTCGTAATACTCCAGTTGTAAACTTGAATCCACGAGTGCTACAACGGGAACTTGAAGCCTAGCAGCCTCCAAAATCACTGAGCTCTTCCTGTCCGTCTCCAACACCACAACATAATCTGGCGGTTGTACTGGAGCAAAACAAACCTTTTAGAATCAACAAAAAGGGAAATCATTTATTTCAAAAACCAAGCAAGGGAAAAATAATTAGAACAATACAATTACTCTGTAAAGACTGAATATATTAGAATCCAAAAGCATGGATTTCTGTTTCGCCCATTAGGTCTTTTAGACCAGTTTATTCTATTTCCTGGAGTTCAATATAGACAAGGTATGCTGTGTTTGTATCATCAACAAGAACCTCCTTCTAATGATAATCAAACAGACAATCCAACAACCACCAGCTAGAGACACAAACTTCTGCATATTAACTCTGCATATTTCAATCAAAAGGAGCATGTCGTGAGTATATGCGATTATCTGCATTCAAATTCCATGGTCCATTGGTCCTAACAAATGCACCAAAACAAACACGGGATTCACTGTTCACAATTACGCATCTCAGAGAACACTATACTCAAGTGGAAACAAGCAAACTTCAACTATACCAAGTGCATGGGGAACATTGACAGGTGCAAACCTTCTTATGTCTGGGGCAGAACTTCTTGGACTGAAACTGTTGGTAAAAAACCCACCCATTTTCTAAATAACCTTATCCCTTGGACTATATACGCTAATCTCTTCGTCGTCTGCTGCACTATCTCATCAAAAAGTGGGTTGATGTTGACAACAAGAACCGGGCTTTCTTCTCTCCAGCCAAGTGTGCAATAAACTTGTAGCATTCAAGACCTATCAGAGTTTTGTCGGAATCAATCATGGACACCCCGTCCCGTGATCCTTTTGGTGAAGATCTTGAAGTGGTGAGCCACCGCTCGCTTGTCCAAATGTGCATTGGTGCTGAGTAGCTTCTGTATAACAACTGAATGTATAGTCATCCCCAGATCGGAGTATCACCAGTGGCAAGCGGTAGTTCTGATAGAGAGAGCAAGCTCGGAGACAATCAAGCACAGGGCACTCCGAGTCCCTGGTATACCATCTGTAGTGATTACAAAATTGAGGAGACGAAAAAAATAACAAATCACAATGTCAGCATTTCTGATTCGAGAGAATCACAACCCTTCTTAGCCATTTCCCACAGAATTCAGCAGGTTCACCTGTAAATAAAACAACCAGACCAACACCCTCCTATCTATTTTCAAGCTTGCATATCTGAAATCAACACTAGAACGAACATTGTGTAAAACTGAGCTCAAAAGAAGTTGAAGGGAAGGCTATAACAGATAAACAGGGTAACATAATAATGTAGATAGTTCATGTCCACAAAATTGTCAAAAGAGTTTGATTGGTTAGCGGTATCTAAACCACCACCTAAGCACATAAACTAAACAAGGTAAATTTTTTGGCAAATCAACCAAATATGCCGATTAAAATACTTACAACCACCCTATTTGAACAACTCCAACTAAGCATAAACTCTGTTAGTTATCTTTTCATCTCCCCCTTCTTGCCCGCGAGAGATCCTCCTCGAGTGTACTTACTCGCCCTTGAAGGGCCTTCTTCTCATCTTCGGAATCCTTTAAGCGCTGAGATATCTCAGCCAATTTTCCCTCGAGGTAGGTAACCTTGCTAGGAAGTCTTTCTTCGCAATCTACTTTCCTCGTCACATATAGATCTTCCGTCTCTTTAAGTCGAGTTTTCACATTGCTCAAGGCACCATCGGACTCTTCAAGCATAATTTGCAGCCCTGAAATTTTGGATTCAGACCACTGTTGCATTTTCTTCATACCAGTATCCATGGATTGAGAGAATAATGCTGCCGCTGCAGTCCGCTTGGCTCTTCCCTTTTCCAACCGACCATTCAATACTTCAATTTTCTTCAATAAGCTAAGTTTATCTTTTTCACCTTCGGCCTTCAACTGATCTAATTGCTCAGATAATCTATTATATTCTTTAATGCCTTCAACCTGAAGCTTGGACAGATTCATCATCACACCGTGAACCCTGCCCTCAAGGAGTTTCTTCTCAGCAAAAACTTCTACCCGTTGCTGCTTGAGAATATCAACTTCCAGTTGGTTCGCGAGAGTTTCAATTTCAACCATTTTCTCACCAACTGAGGTGGACGTACCTGAATCCAACAATTTAAAGCTTCATGAGGTTATAAACCACAGGAACAGTTGCACTCAACAGGTAATTATAGCAACAAAGAATCTAGCAAAAAGCGGGGAATGTAAGTATAACGGGTAACTAACCGGTGGTGGCGGCGGCTGGAGAAGAGGGTGGACACGGCGTCGGCGGCTGCCGGAGAAGACGGTGGACGCGGCTGCCGGAGAAGACTGGAGGCGCCGCGTCTCCAGAAGAAGACGGACGCGGCCCGACTGCGGGAGAAGAAACGGTTCAGTTAGGTTTTCGGGAGATGCTTTGATGAAGGCCGACTTAGTATATATATTTAAGGGATAATATCCAGTTTGGCCCAAATTTTGATGTAAGTGACAGTTTTGTCCCGAACTTTTGAATATTACAGTTATACCAACTTTTCAAATAAATAGACAAATTTGGCCTGCTATTTGAATTGACCGCTAAAACTTACGGTTAACAATATACCCGTTAGTGAGTCAACAAGCTATGCTGACTAGGCATGACATGTCATTTTTTTTTTGTAATCTCGCACATTTTTTCTTAAACAAAAGAAAACTAAAAAATATATATATTGAAGAGGACACGAGGACCACTGTCTCCACTCTCCTCCCCTTCCCGATCGTTCTCACTCCGCCATCAACCTCCCTCAGTCCTCCCCATCCGTTCCCGACCGAGAACTAGGCGAGCACGCTCCTAACGATTCTTACGCCGGCGCCGCCTTCCGTCCGCTCTACCTCAGTAGCTTTTTGTTCCTCGCGCGGCCCCACCATGCTAACTATGTCTTCTTTTTTTTTTTTTTTTGCCTATGGCCTCATTTTGTTTAGTGTGGCAAGGGTGGAGCAGGTTCAAGTGATCCTAACGAGTCTCGAGGAGTTCAGTGCAGCATTCGAGAAGCAAATCAGTCGCCCTAAGTTGAGAGTTTTCTTCTAAAGGAACATAGAAGCTAGTGAGGGTGCTACTCTAAGCGCGACATTGGATAGCCCAAAAACTAAGAATCTGGGACGGGATTTGGGAGTGAGAGTAATAAATGACAGAGTATCTAAGGCTACTTATACAGAGTTGATTGACAAAATTAATGCAAGGCTACCAGGATGGAAGGTAAACTCTTTATCGCTCGCTGGAAGAATTACACTGGCTCAATCTATGTTGTCATCCCTGCCTGTGCATACCATGCAAAGCTCCTTCTTGCCAGCGTCAGTAATGGACTACATCGATGAGAAAATAAGAGGATTCATCTGGGGCAGTTCGGAGCAAGGGCGGAAAATACATCTTGTATACCGGGACACGATGTGCAAACCTGAAGAGGAGGTGGTTTGGGCTTGAGGTGCGCTACTAAGATGAACGAGGCATTTATGGTGAAGATAGTGTGGCATTTATTTACGGAGTAGGAGAGTATTTGGGCTCGTGTTGTTAAGGGGAAGTATCTAAGGCGAACAAATTGGGGACGGGAACCAAGGGTGAATGGCCGAATCTCAAACTTGTGGCGGGGAGTGCTCCGTGTGATGGATCATATCCCGGTAGGTACGATGTGGAATATTGAAAGTGGCATGCAAATAGGGATGGAAATTTTGACCTGACTTGTTTTACCTTACCTGTTTGACCTGTTTTGGGCGGGTCTGCCACGCCCTGTAGGCAAGGAGGGCATTGGTACTTTTCTCGACCTGACCTGTCCACCCGCCCCATTTTTAACCCGCCTTTACATTAACTTACATGTAATTTTACTCAAATTACTTACGATTATACTTTTATTACATCATGTTTGTGCTACAATAAATTTGTATATAGGTGAGAACCTCAATTTTATGAATAATTTTATAATATTTTGGTTTGTTTCTTGGGTTTTATTGAAAAATGAGTATTTTTTGCGTTTTCCTTTCAAACTACATACCCATATGGGTCGACCTATACCGACTGTACGTGGGCACCGGGCCGTGCCGCCCACGGGCTAGCACGGCACGGTTAGAGCACGGCACGAGCACGAATAATATATGGGTCGTGCCGGGCCTAAACTTCATGGGCACGGGCACGAGCACGGGCACGGCACGGTATATAAGTGGGCCGTGTCGGGCCTAATATTTTCGAGACTTTATTGAGTATAAGAACGGACATGGCACGAAAATAATATTTATTTGATAGAAAATAAGTATAAAAAGAATTATATGTTCAAATATTTTTTTTTTTCGTTGAATCAGTTACCCCTTTATATTAAGTAACGAATTGCCAAATCAGCAATCCAAGATACAACGAAAACAGGGACACCAAAACGGCATCCCAAAGCAAAAGAAAAGACCTCAACAGCAACTAAAAAACCAGCAGCTCATTTACATCACTACCACAACTACTGCAGACCTAATATGTGTAAATCCCTCAACATTAATTCCCTAATTACATTAACCTCTCGCGGAGCCTCATCATGGCATCGCCTGCAACGTTCTTGCCAAATATAAGTGACGAAGAGGCACCATTTAACATTAACTCCTCGTTGTGGATCACGCTGCACTGCTACACAGAGAGCCTGCACAGTCTCCACCCAAGATCCTCGGAACAAACCATCCTGCAAAAACCACTGCATCAACAGCCGAGCAAACTCACAAGCAACAAACAGGTGATCCCGTGTTTCACTGGCCATGCCACACAAGACACACTTATCCTCACTCACCTTCCCCCAACGCAACAGTTTACTTTTCGTAGTAATGCCATCAAGTAAAACCAGCCAGGCAATAAAACTAAAACGAGGCACATGATTCGGCCCCCAGACCAACCTATACCACTCCACAGCGCTGCTTTTTGGACGTAGAGTATCCCAGACCCGCTTAACCGAGTACTTGTCCATAGGTTTCCCATCCCACAAGGCACGAAAATAATATTTATTTGATAGAAAATAAGTATAAAAAGAATTATATGTTCAAATATTACAAAACACAAGTAGAAAAATAATTATTTGTTGTTGTTAGAAGTGTCATACAGATATATACGTAATTACTAACATAAGTAAAAATGGACCAAGAATTAAACAAAGCCAAATCACACTCGCTATACTTTTAATTTTCTTTTCCCCCATATTTGTTACTTTTCTCAAACATTATCGGTTAATACTATCTTCCCCCGTCCAATTTTCACATTCTTTTTCATTCTCTCTTTTGTTTTCGTCCTTTTCATTGAACACGAATACGAGCATGGCACGAGCACGAATAGGCACGGCACGATTCGAACCGTGCCCGGGCCTGGACAGGGCCTAGCAAAGTTGAAGAATGGGCTTGCATGGCACGGCACGAAAACTGACGGGCCGTGCCATGCACGGCACGAAATAAATGGGCCCGAAGCGTGCCCGTGCCGTGCCGGCCCAAGCACGGCCCAGCGCCCATGTACAGTCCCGACCCATGCCCTGTGATGAATTATATCACCTGGACCCGACCTGCCATATAGAATTTGATAAAGCGGAAGATGAAATAACACAGTACACGAGAATTTTACGTGGTATCCATGTTCGATGGTGCTTGAAATCACGTAGCCAATTTAAGATTCTCCGCCCAACCTGTCTTGAGAGTTGCACCAGCGGAACAAAAAAAAACGGCCACACCATGATTTGACGATGAACCCACTGCACTGGATTTGACAGACTCAGCGCTGGGCTTGACAGACTCGGCGCTGCAAATTGCCAATGATCCGACCATGCATTCTGGTGACTCTGATGAACCTAGCATCGGAAGCGGAAAACTTTGATAAGTGAAGGAGATGAGCAATAGTGGCCCCGACTGATGATTTGCCTTGAATGGCAACTAGGCGATGAAAAGGGAATCAGAACTGGTAGCGGCAGTGATGTAGTCACGACTGCAACTCTGTTATGACTGATGATGAGGCTTGCAGAGAACTGGTTCGGAATTGAACAGCCCTGCTATGGGCAATTTCGGGAACACGGGTGCAATGACCTCGTAGACAAATGGTTGATGATGAGCGGAAGCGCAAAACCCTTGATAAGGATCGAGTTTTGCTCTCATGTAGAATTTGATAAAGCGGAAGATGAAATAACACAGAACACGAGAATTTGACGTGGTATCCCTGTTCGATGTGAACAGGACTAATCCACGGTGAGCTCTGAAGAGGTCATAGTTGATCTCTTATTAGGTTTACATTTTGATGGCTTACTTACGACAGGTTCGTAGCTAAGTCTTATATAGAGATATACTAGGGTTAAAACCCTAACGAGAAGAGTCAAGTATTGCCAAGTATCCATACCTACTACAACTCGGACAAGGCCCAATAAAGGCCAATACTAACACGATTTAAGTAACCGCAACATGCCACGGGGCCGGTATGGGCATCGAGATACCCGGCCCAGACCTGTCTCATTACCATTCCTACATGCAAACCCTGATATGGACTGACAGGTGGTTCCAAGAAGGTCCCCCGCTGGCTGACTTCGTCGCAAATTTGCCAGAGGAGGCCATCAATTTATCGTTGCGGAATTAGTGATGAATGGGGGTTGGCATGTTGATTTCGTCAAAGCATTTCTGCCTGAAAAAGCTTGTTCTCCAGCTGCAACTACACCCAGTTCCTCATACGGAAGAACCTGATACTTCTTTTTGGAGACTTTCTCCCTCTGGACGTTCTCTCTTCAAATGACCTATGAGCTAATTCAAGGGGGAGGTGAAGAGCATCAATCGCATCCTATGTGGAGGGCAGCTTGGCGCATCCAAGGACCACAATAAATGAATACTTTCTTCTGGTTAGTACTCCAACGCCTACTTCTTACTAATGCAGAGCGAAGTCGTCACCACATCGCAACTTCGGATAGCTTCCCTATTTGTGGAGGAGGACCAGAAAAGTTTATGACTTTATGCATGTCTTCGGTGACTGCCCTTACGCTCGCCTTTTATGGGCAGAGTTCCCTACATGTGAACCGTACAATGTGTTCTTTGATGGGAATTTGAATAGATGGGCAAGGCATTACCCTGCAGGCCGTAGTGAAGTGGTGGATGCAACTCTGTTTGCTAACCTATGTTGGCAATTATGGAAGAATACAAACTAGTGGTTTTTTTAAACAAATCTATCTTCGGCCAGACAGTTGAGCCATCAAGTTAAAGATCTTTGCAGATCAACTGTTGCAGCTTTCAACAATGCGTAGAGAGTTATGGGGAGCGAGGAACCAAGGGTCACGAGCTTCATCAGATGGCAAAGACATCCGACTGATTGAGTTTGTTTGAATACAGATGGGTTAGTCATTCTCTCCCAGGGCAAGACATCAACACTGGAGTGTTGCATGATAGTGAAGGGAGATTTATCAAGGCCTTCGCAGTGAACCTTGGCGGTGGATCGACTACCCACGCAGAATTGGAAGATATTGCCCATGGACTGCAGATCGCTTGGGGAAATGGGGTTCAGAAGAGTCTTACTGCAGACTGATTTGTCCACGACACTCAGTTTTCTGCAGAATGACACGTAGTGTCATCCTTATCACACGCTGGTTGCAGCTATTCGGGCACTGAGGGAGAAGGATTGGGAGATTACTTTTACTCATGTCTACCACGAGAGCAATTATGTGGCAGATTACTAAGCCTTTGTTGGCCACTCTCTACCTGTTGGTGTCTATGTGATAGATGTCCTAGGTCCTATGCTGAGATACTGGCTATATTTTAATACTATTGGGGTCTATATACCCCGTCTGATTAATGTTTAAGGGTAATAGCTCCCCTAGCGCTATGTTTAACAAAAAATAGAGGTTAGTTAAGTCAAATTTTCATTAAACTTTAATTTAAATTTTCTTTTTCTGCAGCCTCTTCACAACCCCACTCTCCCCACCCACACAACCCTACCATCTCTCTCCTAGTCTTCCTCTTTTGACGATTGATGAAGCCGAACCGCTAACTCCTTCAAACGTCGACGAAGTAAGAGAGGCGGTCACCTTACCAAGGACGTCGTCGTTATTTCATTTGCTGACTCGCGTGACGGAAGGGAGGGGAGCGGGCGGGAGGGAGGGCGGCACCTTCTCGTTAAGGAGAGAATGAGGGAGGGTTGGCGACAACTCATCACCTGAGAGAGAGAGAGAGAGAGAGAGAGAGAGAGAGAGAGGAAGAGAGGCAGTTGGGAGAGAGAGGGGTGGAGAGACATTAAGTTTTAAACTATAATAATCACATGTGAGATCTTTTTCGTTTCCAAAACTATCTTTAGAGCAATTTTGACTGTCAATTTTTTTTAAAAAGGAAAAAACTGAGAAAATGAACCACCCTAACCCCCTCTCTTCCTAAATCTTATTTCAATTCTCCCTAAATTCAACCCCTCAAACTACACTTCTTCAAAGTTCAAAAGCATCTATCATTCACGTTCCACTAACCCACCTCAAGAAACCATTAAATTTTTTTGGGTGAAAACCTTAAGTCTAAACTCTAAGGCATACCCTAGTTACCCATACATCAAAGTTCAAATCGACAAACCATAGGTCATAGGGGAAAGCTTAAGTTATAAAACGTATGACATTTGATACTAAAACATTGGTTATTACAAAATCTTGAGTGGGGATGTCGTCGTATTACTTCTTCTTCTTGAATATCTTGATTCCTTTCCAACGAGACTCCATGAGATGAGAATCGTCGTCCTGAGCATAGACTCCAAACTTGAAGTAATGAGACTTGCCGCCGTGATCTACTCCTTTATATACAAGAGATCCGTCAATGTAGACCATAACTTTGCTATCATCCACGTCGTGAAATACGTTCAACCTAAACCATCTGTTGTGGATGTTGGAAAGGATTTTGGATCTGTAGACGGCTAGGTTATCGCCATATACTCGAAGCATTAGAGTCGTAGCATGGCCACTTGCTCCAAATACTTGCATTATGCAAACACCAGAGGTGCCACCTGGAACGAACCCTTGCCCTTTGAATTGCCACACTCCAGACGAGTAATCGTATCCCTGTCGACCACAAAATTGGGAGGGATGGATTAAAGCAATCGGAGAGAAATTATTAATAAAAGTCTAGGTTGTGAGTTACTATTAATTAGTGGCTCTCACACCCCTCTAAGTGCAAGTGTGGAAGTTCCAAGCTCTTCTTTTACCCCACTATTCATTCTACAACCTTTGTGTTTAGTTATTGTTCGCTAGGTTTTCGTCTATGGCTTTTTGCACAAATCATCGCCTTTGTGTTTTGTTATTGTTCGCTAGGTTTTCGTCTATGACTTTTTGCACAAATCATCGCCTTTGTATATAGTTATTGTTGGCTAGATTTTCGTCGATGGCCTTTCGCACAAATCATCGCCTTTGTCCACCATTTTGCAACTCATCTCCAAATACTGTCAGTGGAATCCTAAGTTGTTCCCCACCACCGTTTCCAAAGGCCGCTATCATGAGTTTTATATCAGGACCCTATTTCATCCTCTTTAGTGTTTTTTCTTTCTTTTTCCTTTTTGTTAAATATGATCACAATTGAACCCAAACACCTGGGTATCCTAACTTGAATACAAATCATCGCCTTTGCCCACCATTCTGCAGCCCATCTAGAAATAATGTTGGCGGAATCCTAAGTTGTTCCCCACCAACGTTTCCTAAGGCCGCTACCACGAGTTTTGTATCGGGACCAAGTTTCATCGTCTTTACTGTTTTTTTCTTTATATTTTTTCTTTTTGTTGAGCATGATCACAATTGAACCCAATGCAGCTACCGAAAATCCATACCATATCTACTCAATGTTGGCGAGTTTAGTATCGGGACCAAGTTTCGCTCGCTTTGGTGATTTTTTCTTTCACTTTTTCCTTTTTGTTGGGGTCATGAGCAAGTTTTATCTGCTTTAGTATTTTTTATCCTTTTCGTTTTGGTTGAGAATGACAACTATTAATACATAAAAGCCTATTTAATATATAAAAGCCTAGGTTGTGAGTTACTATTCAGTAGTGGCTCTCACACTCCTCCAAGTGTAAGTGGGAAAGTTCCAAGCCCTTAATGCACTCTACATTCTACAAACTTTGTGTTTACTTATTGTTCGCTAGGTTTTTGTCTATGCCTTTTTGCACAAATCATCGCCTTTGTGTTTTGTTATTGTTCGCTAGGTTTTTGTCTATGACTTTTTGCACAAATCATCGCCTTTGTGTTTAGTGATTGTTCGCTAGGTTTTCGTCTATGGCTTTTTGCGCAAATCATCGTCTTTGCCCACCATTTTGCAGCTCACCTCGAAATATTGACGGCGGAATCCTAAGTTGTTACCCCACCACTGTTTCCCAAGGTCGCTACCACGAGTTTTGTATCGGGATCGAGTTTCTTCCTCTTTAGTGTGTTTTTCTTTTTTTTTTCCTTTTTGTTGAGTATGATCACAATTGAACCCAAACACATGTGTATCCTAACTTGAATACAAATCATCGCCTTTCCCCACCATTCGTCAGCCCATCTTGAAATAATGTCATCGGAATCCTAAGTTGTTTCCCACCAACGTTTCCCAAGGCCGCCACCACGAGTTTGTATCGGGATCGAGTTTCATCCTCTTTAGTGTTTTTTTCTTTCTCTTTTTTCCTTTTTGTTGAGCATGATCACAATTGAACCCAATGCAGCTGCCGAAAATCCATACCATATCTACTCAATGTTAGCGAGTTTAGTATCGGGACCGAGTTTCGTTCGCTTTGGTGTTTTTTTCTTTCACTTTTTCCTTTTTGTTGGGTCATGAGCGAGTTTTATCTGAGTAGAAACGCATGGGTAAACAACCTAATTCGACCCGACTAAAGCGATTTGAACCCGATATTACAGGTTTTCAGCTGCAACAAGTTTTATATGTTTTTATAATTGGCATGTTGAATCAGATGTGAATTTAGCCTATGTTGTGAATTACTATTCATTAGTGGCTCTCACACTCCTCCAAGTGCAAGTGGGGAAGTTTCAAGCTCTTCTTTTACACCACTCTCCATTCTACAACTTTTGTGTTTAGTTATTATTCGCTAGGTTTTCGTCTATGGCTTTTTGCATAAATTATCGCCTTTGTGTTTTGTTATTGCTCGTTAGGTTTTTGTCAATGACTTTTTGCATAAATCATTGCCTTTGTGTTTAATTATTGTTCGCTAGGTTTTCGTTTATGGCTTTTTGCACAAATCATCACCTTTACCCACCATATTGCAGCTCATCTCGAAATACTGTCGGCGGAATCCTAAGTTGTTGCCCGCCACCGTTTCCTAAGGCCGCTACCACGAGTTTTGTATCAGGACCGAGTTTCATCCTCTTTAGTGTTTTTTTATTTCTTTTTTTCCTTTTTGTTTAGTATGATCACAATTGAACCCGAACACATGGGTATTCTAACTTGAATACAAATCAACGCCCATTGCCCACCTTTTGGCAGCCCATCTCGAAATAATGTTGGCGGAATCCTAAGTTATTCCCCACCAACGTTTCCTAAGGCCGCTACCACGAGTTTTGTATGGGGACCGAGTTTCATCGTCTTTAGTGTTTTTTTCTTTCTCTTTTTCCTTTTTGTTGAGCATGATCACAATTGAACCCAATGCAGCTACCGAAAATCCATAACATATCTACTCGATGTTGGTGAGTTTAGTATCGGGACCGAGTTTCGTTCGCTTTAGTGTTTTTTCTTCCACTTTTTCCTTGTTGTTGGGGTCATGAGCGAGTTTTATCTTATTTAGTATTTTTTTATCCTTTTCCTTTTGGTTGAGAATGACAATTGAGTCCAAACGCATGGGTATACAGCCTAATTCGATCCGACTAAAGCGGTTTGAACTCGATTTTACAAGTTTTCGGCGGCACCGAGTTTTATTTGTTTTTGTAATTGGTGTGTTAGTGTTAGGTGTGAATTTGTCCAAAACTTGGTCCAACCAGGTCAAAGTGAGTTGAACCTGGTATTTACGAGTTTTGAGTCAGTAGCGAGTTTTAACTTTAGTGTTTTTCATTTTGCTTTTTCCTTTTGTTTGAGAAAGACAATTGAACCCAAATCCATGGGTATCCAACCTAATTTGAAAAGATTCAGAGAAGCTACTTCATTATGCAAAAGTTATGGCAGGATCAACTACTAGCCATACAAATTGAAACATTGGCGTCATGAAAGAAGTTTAAACATAAATAATATATTCGACGACCCTTCTAACTTATGCAAGTTCATCGATATGATATTGTAAATAACAAACCTATGAAAAGAATTATTAATAATGAAATAAAATTGCTTTCACTTTTGGTCAACATTAAAACTATTACTCTTTAAAATATTTATTTTTCTGATACGCGAAGCGATAGCGAGCAGGCTTTTGTTAGTTAGTATATATAAAGCGCTTGTTTGCATTAGGGGTTTGGTAGGCTATAATCAGGAGTATTGTAATTATGTGCAACCGTTTCCCCAAATTATGTACTGTATGCCCTGCTCTCCCCGTCCGACAGAAATTAGAATGAGTATAATTTTAAGGCAAAATACACTTCCATAGCCATAACTTTACACATTGTGACAAATATAGCCAGATTTTAAAAAATACACAGAAATAGCCATTCCGTCTATTAATTTAACGGAACGCTAACGACAGCTGAATAGACAAACATTCGTTGGTCTACGTGGCATGACAAGTTGTAATTTAAATTTAATTATATTTATTAAATAAAAAACATTAACAAAAAAAAAAAACAACTCTCGCCTCTTACCATCATTTCCCCCGATCCCTATTTCCTAATATCCTTCCCCTGCATCCAAGATCTCTCTTCTTCTCCTTTGCCTCTCTGTTTACCCTTCCCCTCCCATGAAACCCACCACCCCTCTACTTTTTCTTTCTATTTGTCTTGTCTAAAAGCAGCAAGGGATACGAGGCTAGATCCACCCAATACCTTTCCCCTCGCCTCTTTGATGAGATTGGGATTGGGATTGTTCGATTGTGGGTTCTGGATTAGAGCATACGCCGTTGCCTGCTGAGGTGTTGTTTTGGGATTTTGTAATTGGTGTTGACGGGAGGTAGAGGCTAAAGATGGACGCGACGAATCTGGCGGGTGGGAAACAGATATGGAGATTTGGGTCGACGACTCCGACGAGCTGGGTCTTCGACTCTGACAAAGCCCCACATGCTATCCTCCGCCACTGTGGTGGTTTTGTGAGAGCTTGAAATGGCTAAGACCCCTAACCCAATCCCTCATTCTCTCTTCCAATCGAAACGGCGGCGAACCCTTTCATCTCTGCCACATGAGAGGAAGACGATGATGATGGCGACGACGACTTGATTAAGTCGAAGTCGTCGCTGGTGAAGCAATCTTCATATCTAAGGGAGGACGGGGCGGCAGCGGCGGCGGGGAAAGCCATCAACTCCGGATCCGGCGGGTGACAAAACCAGAGCTGGTGAATCGATTGTAAAGGGATTTTTAACAAACCCTAATATGTGAAGCTCTAATGTGGTTAGCGATTTTGTAAATTAAAAGGGCTTGCTCGCGGGAGTAGGGATTGACACTGGCGACCAGTGCTACGGGGATAGAAGCTTGCAGGAGGAAGATGAAGATGAAAAGGATGGGTGTATTGAGTTTGTGTTGTCTTCAGATCTCTCTCGAACCCACGAAAGTTTTTTTTATTTTTTTTACAGAACGAACCCAGGAAAGATGAAGAAGAAAAATATGTTATGTTGGCATTTTTTGGAAATAATATTTTTAAATTAATAATATAATTTAATTTGACATGGCGCACACGTGGCTACTGGGAAGTGACGTGGAAGCTGAGGAGGCGTCACCTAAGCTTGCTGTTCACAGGTGTTAACGGCATCTCTAACACCATTAAAATTTCTAACGAAAATGGCTAAATTTGTCAAATATGTTTCAAAATTTGGCTATTTCTGTGCATTTTTCAAAATTTGGCTATAATTGTCACAGAGTGTAAAGTTATGGCTATGGAAATGTATTTTACCTAATTTTAAATCTATCTATCTATATATCTATCTATCTATCTATAAAAATATATAAAGCACTTTCTAAAAACCACCTCCGCCACATAAGCTTTCCAACCTCTATTACTTTCCCCCCTA